CAACGCAGGGCTTGAACCCATGAACTGAGAGATCATGACCTGAGCTGAAGTCAGACGCTTAACCAACTGAGCCACCCAGTTTTTAAGAGTACAGCTGAATAGTGTTAAGTGTATTCACACTGTTGTGGAAGGGGTCTCTAGAACTTTATCATCTCGCAAAACTGAAATTCTGCACCCATTAAACAACAGCTTTCCATACCCTCCTCCCAGCCCTACCATTTCACTTTCTGTTTCTAGGAACTTTTTTTTTTTAACATTTATTTTGAGAGCTCATGTGTGCATGTCCATACACATGCAAGCAAGGAGAGGGGCAGAGAGCAAGGGAGAGAGAGAAACCCAAGCAGGCTCCGCACTGAGCGTGGAGCCCCATGAACCTTGAGATCATGACCTGAGCCAAAATCAAGAGTTGATGCTTAACTTACTGAACCACCCAGGCACCCCTCTAGAACTTTTTATAAGTGGAATCATATGTATTTGTCCTTTTGTGACTGGTTTCTTTCACTTAGCATAATCTCAAGTTTCATTCACGTTGTAGTATGTGTCAGAATTTCCTTCCTCTTTAAGGCTGAACAATGTCTCATTGTATGAATATACCATTTTGTTAATCCATTCATTTCTCAATGGATACTTGGGTTGTTTTGCCTCTTGGCTATTGTGAATGATGCTGTTATGAATGTGGATGTACAAATACCTTCTTAACACCTTCCTTTCAGTTCTTTTGGGTATGTACCCAAAAGTGGAATTGCTGGGTCATATGTTAATTCTATGTTTAATTTTTTGAGGAATTGCCATGCTGTTTTCCACAGCAGCTGCCATCAGTTTAACATTCCCTCCAACAATGCAGAAGGGTTCCATTTTCTCTGTATTCTCACCAACACTTGTTACTTTGTTTTTGGTTCTTTTGTTTTTGTTTTTGTTTTTGGGTTTTTTTTTTTTTTTTTTTGGTAGTGGGCCATCCTAATAGGTATGAGGTATGGACATCATTTTAAAAGTTTTTCCCCTTTTAAAGTTTTTATTTTGACATAATTTCAGTGTTACAGAAAAGGGGTAAGACTATGATAAAGAATTAAGCACCCATTTTTGGTTAAAAACAACAAAACCAGAAGGAGGTCCTGCATATTTTATTTTTCTTTTGGCCTTTTTTTCCCTCCCTAACTCTTGTTTTGAAAGATATCAATCCTATAGAAAAGCTGCAAGATCAGTGGAGTGAACACACCTGTGACCTTTGCTTAGCTTCATTGGTTAACATTTTGCATATTCACTTCAGAGTAAGTTGCAGCTATGACAGTTTTACTGGAAATACTTTATTGCACTTCTAAGAATAAGGGCCTTCTCTGGTATATCTTTAGTACCATTATAAATCTAAGAACATTTACAGTCATTCTATAATTTTATCTGATGTTCATATTTAGATTTCCCTAGTTTTCCTCAAAATGTTTTCCATCTCCTCCCACCCCTCTCCATTCAGGATCTAGTCAAGGTCCACGCAATGCTTGGATACCCCAAAGAGTGAGTCAGGGTACCACAGAGTGGGAAAGCACCCCCTGAGAGTGTATGCATGGAGTAAAATATCTAGGAATTAGACATAACGTGCGAGTGTCAGGTCTGTGAGCAGGTGACCTATAAGACCTGCAAAGAGACCCAGAGGCTGGCTTGTGAGATAGAGTCCATTGTGTCCATCACAAAGATGCTAGCTCTCTCTGTATGAGTCTGGATGTGTAATGCATTCCCTATAAAAACATCAAGAGACTTGAGGCACCTGGTGGCTCAGTTGGTTGGGCATCTGACTTCAGCTCAGGTTATGATTTCAGTTTGTGAGTTCATGCCCGGCCTCAGGTTCTCTGCTATCAGCACAGAGCCTGTTTCAGATCCCCTGTCCCTCTCTCTATCTGCCCCTCCCTCCCCCCCAAAGTAAATAAACATTAAAAATTTTTTATTTTTTATTTTTTAATGTTTATTTTTGAGAAAGAGCACGAGTAGGGGAGGGGCAGAGAGGGAGACACAGAATCTGAAGCAGGCTCCAGGCTCTGAGCTATCAGCACAGAGCCCAACGCCGGACTCCAACTCACAAACCATAAGATCTTGACCTGAGCTGAAGACAGACATTCAGCCGACTGAGCCAACCAGGCGCCCCAACATAAAATTTTTTTTTTTTAAATCAAGAGACTTTATGGGGGCGGGAATTGCACATACTGATTCTAAAGTCCAATTTTTCAAAAGCAAGCAAGGCCAGGAAATTGTTGAGAAGGTAATGAAAGGAGACTGGCCCTACCCTACGTTAGTTAATGCATGTAACAGAGCTGCAGTAATCCAGGCTCCTGGTGCCTGAAGAAATGTTGGAATGTTACTGGGAAAGATGAGAGGTTTGAACACAGACACAAGCCTACCACGAACTTTGTGTGTGGTAGAGATGGCATCCCAAGTGGGGGAAGGTGATGATGGGGTAGTCCTCTTGAAAAACATAAAGTTGGACTGTTTTTAAAATTTTTTTTATGTTTATTTATTTTTGAGAGGGAGACACAGAGTGTGAGCAGGGGAGGGGCAGAGAGAGAGGGAGACACAGAATCAGAAGCAGGCTCCAGGCTCCGAGCTGTTAGCACAGAGCCTGATGTGGGGCTCAAAGTTAGGAGCCCTAAGATCATGACCTGAGCAGAAGTTGGACGCTTAACCGATTGAGCCACCCAGGTGCCCCTGGGTTTTTTTTGTTTTTTGTTTTTAAATGTTTGTTTGTTTGTTTGTTTCAGAAAGAGAGGGAGCACAAATGGGAGAGGGGCAGTGAGGGAGACACAGAATCGGAAGCAGGCTCCAGGCTCCCAGCTGTCAGCTCAGAGCACAACGCGGGGCCCAAACCCACAAACTGAGATCATAACTTGAGCCAAAGTCAGATGTTTAACTGACTGAGCTACCCAGGTGCCCCCTGGATAAATGTTTTTGATGTTTTTCCCTCATAGGGAAGAGCTGTTTTAAGTTTGGCATAAAACTCACAGGCAAAAAAGAGAAAATGAGAAATTTGCATTCAAAACAGACAGACTTCTCCATGACAAAAGGCATCATAAAATCAAAAGATCTGAGGTAGAAGAAAAAATTTCAACTCATCCAAAAAAGGGCAGATTTTTCAAATTAACAAGACAGAGTCTAATAGAAAATGGACAAAGAATCTGGACTGTTCAGAAAGAATATAGAAATGACACTTTAAGGAGCACCTGGCTGTCTCAGTCAGAAGAGCACGTGACTCTTGATCTCGAGGTCGTGAGTTCAAGCCCTATATTGGGTGTAGAGCTTATTAAAGAAGAAGAAGAAGAAGAAGAAGAAGAAGAAGAAGAAGAAGAAGAAGAAGAAATAATGGCACTTAAACACTTGACAAGATTATCTGTCTGGTTCATTATAAGATTTCTCCCTTAGAAGATTGTTAGTATGTAGGCGGTACTATCAAAGTATAAATATATATAAACCCTGTGTCCCAGCAATTGCTTTCATAAGAATCCTGGCAAGCACTTAAGCAAAATGTAAGACCATCCGTCTGGTGAAATAATAGGAGATTAGAAGTAACCCAGGTGTATCCCAGCAGCAGGGGGTTAAATCAACCATGATAGCCTTTACAGGAAGAGGGGCAGCCCTATGTATACCAGTAAGGAGCCATTTCCAAGATGCATTGCTAAATCAAAACGTGATGTAGAATACAAGGTGCATACATGGAGTGCCTCTGGGTATAGTGCTGCCCTGGGAAGAGGAACTGATGGCCTGGAGCAGAGGAGGAAGGGCTGCTAGAGGGAGACTTTCACCCTGTTGTATATTTTAAGTCATGTACTGCACATATAATTTACCTAGTCGAAAAATAAACAAAAGGTAAAAAATAGCTACTCTGTCCTCTGTATGTTGCTGACTGTCATATTTCAGCCCTGCTGCCTCCCCTTTCTCCCCCAACCTTCTTCCCTCTGAACAACTAATTAAGTGGCTCCCCACTGGGATGCCTCAGAGGCATCTCACTGATGGTAACTGTGCTCTCTGGCCCCATTCCTCCCAAGTCCCCATCAGCCCAGCTAACCCAGCCAAGGGCCCTGATTCCTCCAGTGCTCTCCTAGATTCGGTTCTTCAGCATATTCTCCCTGCCACTGGGCCCTCCCCAGGCCTGCAGGAACCCTCCCTCCTGCAAAGTCTACTCATACCACTCTCCTGTGTAAAGTTCCCTGACAGTGCCTGGATTTTAATCCTGGCTCAGTCTTGACCTGGGGGAAGCAGGACCTGGCCCTGTCTTACCTGTTCACTTCTTCCTTGCCCTTACCTGGCTGCCTTGTTTGCTGAACTCATCCTTGCCCCAGGACTTTGGCACCCGTCTCCTCTACCTGGAATGCTGTCTGCTGGCTGGTGAGGTGCCACCCAGCCCCATCTTGGTTCCTGAGAGCTAGCCTGTCTCTGCTTCTCATCACTCTCCACCGCTCCCCTCTCCCAGCTGGGTACTCCTAGATCAGATGCCCAGTTGTGTTTCTTCCTAGCATTTCCTCACTCAGAAATGCCTTGTTCTTTACTTGCTGTTCTCTCTAGCATCAAACTCCATGTAAGTAGGAATCTTACACTTTACTTGACTGTTACACCTTTGACTCTGATTGGTATAGTTAGGCGCTCAGTTAATATATTTTGAATGGAATGAGTTTTATTGTTTCCCATTCATCCATTCTTTCATGACATGCCCCGGGCTGCTGCTGTGATCCAGGAAGTATATCATGGATACAGCAGAAAGCAAGCTGGACATTGTCCCTGTCCCTAAGAGGCTCATTCATGACACCTTGCAGCCCATGATGGTGATTTCTAGGATGGCTGTCCAAATTTGGTCAGGAGTTTGTGGGCACCTTCTGTGGCAAGCATCAGTGCCCAGAGCACAGAGTGAGCTGATACTCTATTGCACGTCACTGCTGGGTCAGCCTGCCTCCTGTTCTGGATGCTCTCACTCTTTGCGGCCTGGGCTGGCATTCTGATTGATAATACATTGATACGACAACACTGTTTCATGTTTTTCTTTGCAGAGGGATGTTTGCTGGAGGATTGAAGGAGATGGAGCAGGAAGAGGTCCTGATCCACGGCGTGTCCTACAATGCCATGTGCCAAATCCTGCATTTCATTTATACCTCTGAGTTGGAGCTCAGCCTGAGCAATGTTCAGGAGACGCTGGTTGCTGCCTGCCAGCTGCAGGTGAGGCTGCCCTCGCTCCAGCAAGGCAGACCCAAACCCAGGGGTGTTCTGCAGGTGTCTGCAGGGCAGTGGTATGAGGAGGATCAGCAGGCGAAGATGCCAGGCAGCAAAAGAGACTACAGGTCGGGCAGAGGCTCTTGGGTGGTACATGGCTCAGCCAGTTCTGGGCACTGAAGCATAGCTGCTCCAAATGCCTCCAGGTCCAGGCTCCTTCTCTGCCTTTGCCCTCTGCTCTTCTGCTGGTTCCTTTCCTTCTACCTGGCCTCTCTGTCACTCAGAAGATCCTGCAGGTAAACACGGGGGCCAACCCTGAGGTGGGTATGTGATGTCCTTCGTGCCCCAGCGTCCGACAAAGCTGAGCTCCCATGGTTGCCCAGACCCTTTCTGCTCGTCCCCCCACTTGGCTTTGTCAGTCTGTTTGAAACCACTTTCCTTTTTGTCATTGAACTTTGAATAGTTGTTTTCCTACAGAACGCCAAAAGTTTTCTGAGGCTTTGACAGTGTGACTTACATTTTAGAAGGCTATATTAGCTCGGCAGTGTGGGTACAGTCACTCAGGGCTGGGCCTGCCTGTGCCTTTGCTCTCAGGAGCCATCATCAGATGGTTTCCTCTGGCTGGAGAGACTTCTCGCCTTACATTTGTTGAAAGTGAAAATGAAATGCTATGGTGAGTTTATTATCCTGACCTTTTCTCAGGTCAGAGCATGTTTGGGGCCATCAGAAAGAATGCAGGTCCGGAAAACCAACCTGTTTAGGGGTGTCAGGAGGCCCCACCCTGCGTGGCAGGGCCCCGGCAGTTCCCTGCACATTCACTCACACATGGGCGGGTGGGGGGCACTTGGCCCGTACTTGTTGGGTTGGTTTGACCACAGCTCTTCCTATGCCACAAGTGGGTAGAGCCAGTGCTCCTGAGCACTTTAGTGTCTCTGAGGTCATTGTGAGGGGTAGCATGGGATGGGCATCCCTGCTTCACCTTGAGCAGCCTGGCTTTTGGGGATTTGATTTTTAACATATTGGGATTCTATGCAATGTTCCTTTTTTTTTTTTTTTTTTTTAATGCTTATTTATTTTGAGAGAGAACAAGCACGTGGGAGGGGAAGAGAGAGAGGAAAGAGAATCCCAAACAGGCACTGTAAATGTGGAGCCCAATGAGGGGCTTGATCCCACAACCCTGGGATCATGACCTGAGCCGAAATCAAGAGTCAGATGCTCAACCAACTGAGCACCCCTGGTGCCCCTGCAGTTTTGTTTTTTGTTTTTTATTTGTGTGTTTTTGGGTTTTTTTGTTTTTTGTTTTGTTTTTAATTTTATTCAAATCCCAGCCAGTTAACATACAGCGTGGTAATGGTTTCAGGAGTAGAATTTAGTGATTCATCACTTACATATAACACCCAGTGCTCATCCCAACAAGTGCCTTGCAATGTGGTTTTTAAAGCAAGTTTGACTTGGCATAAGAGTTCCAAGTCCATAGGCCCACCAGGGTCCTGTTTGTTCATGTAGCCAGTGACCACATTCTCCCCTTGCTCTGTGCCTTGCACTAATTCAGGATCACACTGTTCGTGGTGTCCCCAGAGACTTGGATCTGAATCCCAGTGAGACTGTCACCACTGGGTAACCTCTAGCAATGATTCCTTTCTCCGAGCCTCTTGTGGGCTCCTGCACTGGGCAGGCCTGGGGTGATTCCTCTGTGAGCTTCCCCAGCAGAGGGTCCACTGCTGTGACCATGAGGATGGAAAGGAGACAATGACATGGCCCCTGGATTCTTCAGGAGCTGCTTCTCTGACCCACTGAGAGCTGTTTGCTCTCACTTTCTATCCAGAAACTGGTCCTCAGTGTCCTGGCCCGTGACAGATCAGAAGTAGTATTTTAGGAAGACAAGGCAAAGCAGAAGTGCCTGCCAAGGGAGAAAACAGGTGGTCAAGTGAACTTTTAGGGCTTAACAAAACACAGTGGGAATGGTCCATGTGGGGCAGACGCATTCCTGGCACTTGGCAGGTTTTCCTTCAGCTCTCATCTTGTGACCTGGCAAGCACTGAGTATCTTGTGAATGTGAAAAAAATAAAGGTAAAAAGATTTTAAACGTTTATTAATAAGCTTCACATACCAGCAGAATTATTGTATGTGCAATGGTTAATTTGTTGATGATAAGTGAGAGATTCACATTAAAATTTTTTTTAATGTTTATTTTTGGAAGAGAGAAAGAGAGAGAAACAGTGTGAGTGGGGGTGGGGGAGGGGCAGAGAGAGAGGGAGACACAAAACTCAAAGCGGGCTCTAGGCTCCACACTGTCAGCACAGAGCCCCATGTGGGGCTCGTACTCAGGAACTGTGAGATCATGACCTGAGCCAAAGTCGGATGCTTACCGACTAAGCAACCCAGCACCTCAAGGCATTTCCGCTTTTAGGGCTATTCTAAAATCCTGTTTTCCTAAAGAACATAGCAATGCTTGGGCAGCTTTCCCCAGAGCCCTCCGCTCTGTTTCCGCCCTGCCGTGCTCTGGTTGTTTAATCACCAGGTGGCCTCTAAGCCTGTGGCTCACTTCTCAGCTCCCACCTCAGCAGTGTTGTCTCTCGCTTTCCTTCCATCTCATTCGTTCTTCTGCATGATTGGACACGGGCAAGTGCCAGCCACCTGTGACCCCTGTGCTAGCTGGAGTCATGCGGGCCTCTGCCCAAGCAGGGTGGCTCCCAGCCTTTTAAGAACCTAGTGGGATTCCCAGGATGGGTGCTAGGCAAGCGTCTGGAACGCTCTGCTGGCAGTTCTTAGCGCGTGGGTGCTTCAGGGCCATCTCCTGGGGAAGGGGGTGGGTTCCCTGGGCCTGCATCTTTGGCTGAGCCTGCAGTTGTGGGGGTTGTGGCAGGACAAGAGAGCTGGATGTTTCTAGAGAGCCTGGGTGGGGGGGGCATGAGTCCTAGGTACCTTCCAAACCAGGGGTAATTGATACAGTGGCCACTGTGCTGCTTCCTGATTCTCTGGAGATTCAATACTTCTGATCTGAAAGGTTTTACTCTGTGCCAGGTAGTTCCTGGGTACCATCTCATCTTCAACTTACTGCTCTCCACTTTATTTTATTTTTTTTTCATTTTTATTTTTTTTGAGTTAATTATTTTTTTTGGTTTTCTTATTTTTTTAATATAATTTATTGTCAAATTGGTGTTAAATACAACACCCAGTGCTGATCCCAGCAAGTGCCCTCCTCAATGCCCATCACCCATTTTCCCCTCTCCCCCACCCCCCCATCCACCCTCAGTTTGTTCTCAGTATTTAAGAGTCTTTTGCAGTTTGCCTCCCTCCCTCTTTGTTTGTAACTATTTTTTTCCCCTTCCCTTCCCCCATGGTCTTCTGTTAAGTTTCTTAAGATCCACATATGAGTGAAAACATATGATATCTGTCCTTTTCTGACTGACTTTTTCACTCAGCATAATACCTTCCTGTTCCATCCATGTTGCTGCAAATGACATGATTTCATTCTTTCTCATTGCCAAGTAGTATTCCATTATATATATAAACCACATCTTTATCCATTCATCAGTTCATGAACATTTAGGCTCTTTCCATAATTTGGCCAATGTTGAAAGCACTGCTATAAACATTGGGGTACATGTGCCCCTATAAATCAGCACCCCTGTATCCCTTGGGTAAATTCCTAGTAGTGCCATTTCTGGGTCATAGGGTAGTTCTATTTTTAATTTTTTCAGGAACCTCCACACTTTTCCAGAGCAGCTGCACCAGTTTGCATTCCCACCAACAGTGCAAGAGGGTTCCTGTTTCTCCATTTCCTTGCTAGCATCTATTGTTTCCTGAGTTGTTAATTTTAGCCACTCTGGTGTGAGGTGGTATCTCAGTGTGGCTTTGATTTGTGTTTCTGATGATGAGTGACATTGAGCATCTTTTCATGTGTCTGTTGGCCATCTGGATGTCTTCTTTGGAAAAGTGTCTATTCATGTCTTCTGCTCATTTCTTTACTGGATTATTTGTTTTTTGGGTGTTGAGGTTGGTAAGTTCTTTATAGATTTTGGATACTAGTCCTTTATCCGATATGTTATTTGCAAAATATCTTTTCCCATTCCGTTGGTTGCCTTTTAGTTTTGTTGATTGTTTCCTTTGCAGTGCAGAAGCTTTTTATCTTGATGAGGTCCCAGTGGTTCATTTTTGGTTTTAATTCTCTTGCCTTTGGAGATGTGTCAAGTAAGAAATTGCTGCAGCTGAGGTCAAAGAGGTTGTTGCCTGCTTTCTCCTCTAGGGTTTTGAAGGTTTCCTGTCTCACATTGAGGTCTTTCATCCATTTTGAGTTTATTTTTGTATATGGTGTAAGAAAGTGATCTAGTTTCATTCTTCTACATGTCCAGTTCTCCCAGCACCATTTGCTAAAGAGACTTTTTTCCATTGGATGCTATTTCCTGCTTTGTCAAAGATTAGTTGGCCATACATTTGTGAGTCTAATTCTGGGTTCTCTATTCTATTCCATTGGTGTATGTGTCTGTTTTTGTACCAATACCATACTGTCTTGATGTTTACAGCTTTGTAGTAGAGGGTAAAGTCTGGGCTTGTGATGCCTCCTGCTTTGGTTTTCTTTTTCAGTATCACTTTGGCTATTCGGGATCTTCTTGTGGTTCCATACAAACTTTAGGATTGTTCTAGCTTTGAGAAGAATGCCAGCGCGTTTTGATTGGGATCGATTGAATGTGTAGATTGCTTTGGGTAGTATTGATGTTTTAACAATATTTATTCTTCTAATCCAGGACTGCTCTCTACTTTAATCGCTCCTCTTATAAATGAGGAAACTGAGGCTCAGAGAGGTTAAGAATGTGCTACAGATCTCTTTGAAGCCCAGGTTTAAACCAAGTCAGTCTGCAGTGAGCCCCAATCATCTCTACTATTGGGGGAGAGCAGCTGCGCCAGGCCTCCACTTCAGGAAAGGTCAGGGGCGGTGGAAGGGGGCCAGCTGTAAACAATAGCTTCGCGTCCCCTGTTATCCTCTGTCTCCCTCACTCAGACACTGTTCCCAGCCCAGGCTTGAATGGGGCTTGTTCTTTTCACAGATCCCAGAAATCATCCATTTCTGCTGTGATTTCCTCATGTCCTGGGTGGATGAAGAGAACATCCTTGATGTCTACCGGCTGGCGGAGCTGTTTGACTTGAGCCGTCTGACTGAGCAGCTGGACACCTACATCCTCAAAAACTTTGTGGCCTTCTCTCGGACTGACAAGTACCGCCAGCTTCCCCTGGAGAAGGTCTACTCCCTCCTTAGCAGCAACCGCCTGGAGGTCTCCTGTGAGACCGAAGTGTATGAGGGTGCCCTGCTCTACCATTACACCCTGGAGCAGGTGCAGGCCGACCAGATCTCACTGCACGAGCCCCCCAAGCTCCTTGAGACCGTGCGTTTCCCCCTGATGGAAGCTGAGGTCCTCCAGCGGCTGCACGATAAGCTGGACCCCAGCCCACTGAGGGACACGGTGGCCAATGCCCTCATGTACCACCGCAATGAGAGCCTGCAGCCCAGCTTGCAGGGCCCTCAGACAGAGCTGCGGTCGGACTTCCAGTGTGTTGTGGGCTTTGGGGGCATTCATTCCACGCCATCCACTGTCCTGAGTGACCAGGCCAAGTACCTGAACCCCCTGCTGGGAGAGTGGAAGCACTTTACCGCCTCCCTGGCTCCCCGCATGTCCAACCAGGGCATTGCGGTGCTCAACAACTTTGTGTACCTGATCGGAGGGGACAACAATGTCCAGGGCTTTCGTGCCGAGTCCCGGTGCTGGAGGTAGGCATGGGTGCTTGGCTGAGACTTGGTCTGTGGGTGACGCTGTGGTGCAGGAGTTGTGGGCCTAGGAGGCTGCTTATGGAGTGGGGTCTGCGAGGGCCGAGGCTGTAGCCTTTTAAATTAATCTTGTGGCTCATCGGGTAGGTCTGTTTTGTGGAGTAAAGTCCAGGTTAATTTGAAGAGTGAGGGCTGTGGTGAGGCAAGGAAGAGGGGACCCAGCATGCTTCCTTTCGCTGTTCTTTTCCTCTCAAACCCACTCACCATGGGTCATACCCACTGTCTTGTTGGTGAGGGTCTAGGTTGTGATTGTGCACTTGGACTGGCCAAACACAGGGAGGGGACCTAGTTGCCAGGAACACTGGGCAGGGCAGCTTCTCCTTCCATCTCACCCTCTCCGGCTTTGACATGTATCGTCCAGGGCTCCCTCTGCTAGGCAGCTCTGCCCTCTGAAGCACAGGCGTTGGTGGAGGATGGCTTCCCGTCCTCCCTCCCTCTTCTGCAGTGTACAGTTCTCAGCCTACGGGACCCAAAAGACAGGCATCGCGGAACCTCGTGCCAGGTTTCACCACCCTTGCCTGCCCTGTCGTCAGTGGTGTTGCTGGACATGGGGTCTCCCGAGGTCCTCTGAGGAGGCAGTTTTTCAAGAAGGAGTGGGATATTGTGATGTACTATATATGTTTTTGCTATATGTTAGGTCTATATCCACAGTTTCTGGTTCACAGCTCCCAGAACTCAGAATTTCCCAAGGGAGGAGAGTGCTAATTTTGTCTTGTGTTATGTTAATGAGGTGACTTTGGAAGACCCCAAGTGTAAGGCGGTGCTGGTTACTGGGAGAACCAGCCCTGTGGTTAGAGGGTTGGAATTTCAGGCCTACCCGCTGACCTTGGGGAGGGCAGAAGGGCTGGTGGCTGAGTCAGTCGCCAGTGGCCAGTGATTTAATCAATCATGCCTATATTGTGAAGCCTCCATCAAATCCCAAAAGAGGGGGTTGGGAGAGCTTCGGGATTGGTGAACACCGAGTTGGACGTGCTGGGAGATTGGCACACCTGGAGGGGGCAAGGAAGCTCCCTACTCTTTCCCCAGACCTTGCTCTATCTATCTCTTCCTGTCTGGCTATGGCTGTTCCTGATTTATATCCTTTTATAACAAACAGGTAATCTAGTAAATATGTTTTTCTGAGTTCTGTGAGCCGCTCTAGAAGGTTAATTGAAACCCAAGTAGGGGTTCATGGGAACCTCTGATTTATAGCCAGTTGGTCACAGGCACAACCTGGTGCTTCAGAGTGATATTCTGAGCCAGAGAGGGTTATTGGAACCTCCAGTTGGTAGCTGGTAGGTCAAAAGCATAGTAAACAGCCTGAGCTTGTGAGTAGTGTCTGAAATGGGGACAGGTGGGGTGGGGAGGCATCTTATAGACTGAGCCCTTAACTTGTGGGATCTGATGCTTTCTCCAGATAGACAGTGTTAGAATTGAGTTGAATTGTAGGACTCAGTTGGTGTTCCAAGAATTGCTTATTAATATGCAGAAAGTGTTGTGGTCCCCCCACCCCACCCCCCGCCACTGCCCTGCCCCAACACACATTGGAACTGAGTACAGAAACCCAAAAGAGGGGGTTTTGTGGACTGTCATGGTCTGTAGGATGCTTCCAGCTCTGTCAGTCTATGGAGCTATGATCTCACAAATCCATTTTTGAGGGCAGAACAAAGAAACCAACGCAGATCCCCATAGCCTCAGCTACCGTTAGGTGTCTAGGGCCCCTCCACTGTGCTTTGGCTTGATATCGTGGGATTTGGTGCATGTGGGAAGTCTCCATCTTCTGTAGGCTGAAGGAAAGCTGGCATTGCAGAGAGAGAGATTGCCAGCTGCTTCCATGGCTGTGAGGTACTGACCAAGTTCATGTTCATGTTTCCATCTTTGGGGGGTGGAGGTGGGATCTGGCCTGGCCATGCCTCATGAGGGCCCCAGCACTTCTGGGAAGAAATCACCTTTGTTAAACTGATGAGATGCAAAGCTTGGCAGCTCAGTTGAGGTTAAACCGGAGGACATGCTGAGTACAGAAAGGAGGAAACAATACTTTGATTTTCTCTCTAACAGAATACCCTCCAGAGTGGGTGTGGCAGCACCAGGTTCAGCCTTCCCTTGAAAAGCCTCAAAGCTTCCTTTTTAGGGGCCTGTTACTTTCACAGTGGGAGGGCCAAAGCCACATCTCCCTGCTGAGGCAACCCACAGACCTGCAAAACAGACCTCTCCAGGGTGTTACGGTCACCAGCCATTAGCATACAACGGGGAGGTTGTGTGCCCACTGGGAGGCCAGCCCTGGGGCTTTCCCAGAGGGCCATGCCCCAGGGCAACAGTTGGGTCCACTGCCTGCCCTTAGTCTGCCCTTTTACTGCTTTGATGTCCGTTGCACTCAAGACTAGTCTAAATTTCCCATTGGTGAACATGTGCTCTGAGTCCCAAGCCAAACTCTGGAAAATGCTAGTATCAGCACCAGTGTTTGATAACCATGGCCTCAAACTCCAGTGAGAAGGTTAGGTCACTGTGGCAGGTAGGGTTGGTGAGGCCTACCTGGCAAGGGGAGGTACCTCAGAGGGTTGGGGTGCGGTATCTGCCTGGGGTGATGGGGTGGTGGTGAGGGCCCTGGTGTCTGTTCTCTCTATAGGGTGAGAGTTCCTTTAATCTCTTCATAGACTTTTAAAACTGCCAGATGGGTCTTAATTTGAATGGTCTAAGAGTTAGGTTCTCTTCCCTCTCCCCTTCCTTAATTTACCAGTCTTAGGGTCTATAGACTCTCAGAATATGAAAAGACAAAATTTGCAGTTAGTTAGAGTTTGCATTTTGAGGCTTGAGGACTTAACAGATTATATCAGAACACTGGTATAGGAGCTTCATATAGGAAGTTAACTCTCTTGGAGCAAATTTTATTTGTACTCCTCCCCCACCCCGCTTTCAAAAGTCCACATTATTCCACTTTGCTTTCATGAAAGACCTACGTTAGTGCCTATTTTCACTAACCAGTAGAATTCCAAAGAGGATTTTCACTTTTACAAAAACAAGACGAAAAGAGAAGATCATGTTCAGCATTGGTTTAGCAGTGAGCCTTTGTAGAGGAGCTTGCACCCTTAGCGAGATGGCCCTTCCAAGTGCCTTCCCCAGGAATGACACCCAGCATCTCAGCATCAAGTGACCATAGCTTTGAACTCTATTTGTAAGCATCTGTGCTTTATCTCCATTTATTTTGTGCATTCATTAGCAAGGTGTGACTTCAGGTATCAGAAAAGCCCTGAGAACGGTTATTTTTTGGGCCTGGGAATGCTCAAATTTTTTTCCATGTAAACTAATTGCAATTACTCTGTTTTATGCCATTTCAACTTCTGAAAGGTTTCCAAGAACACCCTACTTTCGGATGGGAGAGGGCAGAGCCTGTACTGATATGCCTTACCTGGGAGTGGCCTTTTGCCCTCTGACCTTACTTAGAATAGCCACTTGTTTTTAACGTGGGGCATTCCCATGTCTGTTTGGAATTTAAAATGTATTTTAAACATTTCTTTGATTGTAATGGACTTCATTAATAGTCATAGGAGTGTTGGAGCGCCTGGGTGGCTCAGTTGGTTAAGCATCTGACTTCGGCTCAGGTCATGATCTCACGGTTTGTGAGTTTGAGCCCCGCATCAGTCTCTGTGCTGACAGCTCAGAGCCTGGAGCAGCTTCAGATTCTGTGTCTCCCTCTCTCTGCCCCTCCCCTGCTCATGCTCATGCTCTCTCTCTCTCTCTCTCTCTCTCTCTCTCTCAAAGAATAAATAAACATTAAAAAAAAAAGTCATGGGAATGTTGGGGCACCTGGGTGGGTCAGTCGATTGAGTGTCCGACTTCAGCTCAGGTCATGATCTCACAGTTTGTAAGTTTTGAGCCCTTCATTGGGCCCACTGCTGTCAACATAGAGCCCACTTCGGATCCTCTGTTCCCCTTTCTCTCTGCCCCTCCCTGCTCTTGCACATGCTTTCTCTCAGAAGTAAATAAACATTAACAAAAAAAAAAAAGCCATGGGAATGCTTAAGTTGTGGAAATACAGAAGAAAAACGGTCTGCTCAATTTAACAAGGACTCCAGAGCGTTTTGTATCCACTATAGCTTGAGCTTCCGAGTTTGCAGTAGGGTGATCTAAATTCTGCCTTAAAGTGACTAGAACTGTTTATATCCTTCTGTAGCTAGTTTTTATTAGAAAAAATATTACTTGAGAACTTATTCTGACAAAGTAGAAAATCAAGAAAGAAATGTGGAATACAGGACACAGTCGGGAGATAAGAAACGAGTGCAACTGTGATTGTGTCTAAATTACTGATGTATGGTGTGTGTATGTATTGCGTGTGTGTGTGTGCGCACGCACACGCACGCACGCACACGTGCGTGTGTTAAATCTGAAACTGCAAATCCAAATGAGTGCATCTGAGGAAGCTGTGAGGGCCGGAAGGAAGCAAGTGGAAGCATCGGGTGGGTCTTGCTTGTCTCACTCTGGTGGATGATGCCGACTTGCACTTAACTAGACACGGGGTTGGGGGAACATGTACATGAATGAGTGTTGTACACAGGAAAGGCAGTGGGAAGCGCCACCCCAGTCAGTTGGCAGGGCCTCACGAGTGCCGAGCCCTGGACTGGCTTGGGCTCCGGTCCCCAGCTGGACCTTCAACTGGCTGGGCCTCTTGTCATTGAGTTCTTAACCGCCACCTCCTTGGGAGGCCCTTCCTGGTCCCCGTGAGAGAGCTCTGACCTCCCGGCCCCCTCTGCCCAATAGATTATGATCTCTGAGTAGATCACCCTCTCTCTACCTCTGTTCTTGTTCTTTGTGGCGTTTGTCATTATATGGAGTGCTTGCTTACGTGTTCTCTTTAGCCTGCTTCCCATCTACAATGGAAAGAAGGGTCCTGGTCTGGAGTTTGCCTCTGGATTCGCAGCACTGAGCACCATGCCTGATCCATGTTGGGTCGCCGGTGAATATTTGCAGAGTGACTGAATGATTTCACCTATGGTAATCTTTGTTCAATTCACTGAGCCCTGAGTTACAGCGAAGTCTAGGAATACAGACTTGAGTCAGTCTTAACGAAGTCCCTTTCTGAGCCCTCACGATAGCTTTTGGAGGCAGGTGGCATCCCCCTGTTGGCCAGGTGCGGAAACTGAGTGAATGTCAAGGGAGGGAAATCAATGCCTAGACACACCCAGCTGGATGGGGCAGACCAGCTGTCCATCCTGGGTCTGTGTGACCCACATGCGTGTTCTTTCTCTCCTGTTGGCCCCAACCCCTGAGCACCTTGTTTCCTGTCATTCCTGTCTGGCAGGGAAGAGCTGGCCAAAAGGTGCAGGCAGGAAGAAGCAGCTGCCTAGCGCATCTGGATGAAACTTGTCTCTTCACCAACCAGTGTGGGGCACAGACCCAGACCAAAGCAAACTTTGCTCACTCTCTAATGAGCCAGTTGAAGTTCAGCTTGTCTTCTTGGGGTTGGTCTTTCTATGGAGAAATAACCACTTACCTGAAAGCGGCTGTAATTATGCATGAGCTATTGAGCAAGGAGGCTTCAGAAGCAGGCACTCAAGATGCTGGTGCCTGAGTGGATGTCCAAGGCAAGGGGCCAGATGCAGGTCAGGGGAAGAGTGGGCTTGGCCCTTGGGCTCTCAGGGTCCTGGTCCCTCAAGGTTCTGTAATTGTCTGTATTGACCCAAGTAGCATACTCGCCTGTGTGCCCCACGGAGTGCCAGGCCTGGGGCATGGAGTGCAGCAGGGCTGAGTGCTGGCAAGGTTGGTGTGGACTGGGCTGTAAGGGCCTCCTCAGCTGCTAGGCTAGTGAGGATTTTGGTGTGAGTGGGGGCTTTGCTGCTGAGGGTAGGATCGGTGGGCAGAGGGAGCATGGGGTTCCGTTCAGGACCGGTGAGCAGCCAGCTGGAGATGGTTAGGAGGCCTTTGCAGTGTGGGTCTGACATGCAGGAGGAGGAAGTGAGGGGTGATAGCTTGTCTCCTGGGGTGATTGAGATCCTGTGGGTTGGGCATGTGAGGCCCCTCAAAGGCAAATGAGGGGCAGCATGACCTCAGGGGGGCTATGGGAGGGGGGCAGCCACACAAAGCAGCTCAGAATGAAGTTGCTTGGGGATACGACTTTTTAAAAAAATGTTTATTTTTGAGAGAGAGAGTGGGGGATGGGCAGAGAGGGGTACAGAGGATCCAAAGCAGGCTCTGCGGTGACAGCAGAGAGCCCAGTGCGGAGCTTGATCTCCATGATTTGAGCTGAAGTCAGACACTTAACCGACTGAGCCATCCAGGCACCCCTCTCCATCAGCCTTTTAAAAAATCATATCCCCGGGGTGCCTGCGTGGCTTAGTTGGTTAAGCATCAGACTTGGCCCAGGTCATGATCTCGCGGTTTATGAGTCCCACGTTGGACTCTGCACTGACGGTGTGGAGCCTGCTTGAGATTCCCCCGCCCAATCTCACTCTCTCTCTCTCTCCCTCTCTACTCCTCCCCCATTTGTGCTTTCTCTTGCTCTCTCATGATAAATAAACCTTTTTAAAAAAGGTTGATGGAGAAAGAAGGAGATGTGGGAGATGGCTCTCATTCCACCAGCTGGCAACAGGACAGCTTAGGAGAGGTACCTGAAGTGATGGAGGTGTGGTCTGTGACAGGATGCTGGCAGACGACTCTGGAGGGAGTGTTGGCATTGGCCATAGGCCGGGAGGCTGTTGTGCCTGTCCAGGGATGGGCATTCTTCAATGGGGATGGGACTGTGGGGACCATGGATCTGGATAGGTGAGATGGGGCAGCCTGGGGTGGACAGATAGGTGGGCTAGAAACCCCCCATGAGGTCACCCCTAGAATATGATGGCATCATGGGCAGAAACCCGAGTTCCTGGTCATGCTTTCCAGGCTCCATGCTGGGGACATATCCGTGTTCAGGCATGTAGCAGCCTGCTGGTGTGGCTGTGGGTAGGCCTGTGCTGGTGTGAGGGTACAGTGGTGCTGGGGTACAGTGATGGAGCAGGAGGTGTGGGCCTGCTGGGCAGGCTTTCTGGCCTATCAATGATGCACTGCCTTCATGTTCCCTCAAAAGGTATGACCCAAGGCACAACCGCTGGTTCCAGATCCAGTCCCTGCAGCAGGAACACGCCGACCTGTGTGTGTGTGTTGTGGGCAGGTACATCTATGCGGTGGCGGGTCGCGACTACCATAACGATCTGAATGCTGTGGAACGTTATGATCCCACCACCAACTCCTGGGCTTACGTGGCTCCGCTCAAGAGGGAGGTAAGGAAGCCCCTCCAAGTGGGGCCTTCTCCTGTCTGCTTTCCTTAGACGGTGTGCAGAGTGAATGTGTGGCCAGGCCAGGGAACTAGGCCCAGTGGGTACCTCCAAAGACTCTGCACTGTGATTGGACGGGGGACCCCTGAGGTTCAGCCACCCCCTGGGGAGATCCTCCCGAAGCACGCATCAGACTCCATTCCCCAGAATTTCACCCCTATCTCGCCCATCAAGGGTCTCGCCACCTTGTCCCAGGAAGCTGCCTTAACCCTGCAGTTCAAATGCAGACAGAAGCCTTCCCCTTGTCTGTCCTTCAGGACAGTGGAGCTGAGCTGGGTGGGACGTGTCCAAAAATGTTAAACAGAAGGGACACTACCATAGAGGAGGTCTCAGGAGCCTCAGACTTACACAGGCTTCCTGGAGGGTGGGGCCTTTGAAAAGCCAGAAAACCAGTTTAGAAGTCGTATTTCATATTTATTCATTTGTTTTTTAAAATCATGTGCATCCTGCATAGTACTTTGGATCTGATTTGAAGATGTTTAAAATATGGTCATTGTGCAAAGGTGGTGCTTTAGGGATGTGCCTGTCTTATTTTATGGACTTGGGATATTAGGACCCTGGCTGTAAAACCAGGCACAAGATCCTAGGGCAAGGAAGAGGCCTCAGTGATCCAGGTCCCATGTTTTGGGTCCTACCTCAGAGCAGGGTAGGCACCCTTGCCGTATTGGCATTATAATTCGGGGAGCACCTTCTATGGCTCAGGCTACCTTTGGGCATCTCTGAGCCCTCTAGTGGCAGAGGATGGTGTGGGGACACACATGGGGCTATTTCCCAGGCTCTGCCATAAGAGCTCCTGCCTTTCTGAACCTCTTTCCAAACCTCCCCTCTTTATCTCTCACCTCTCTCCCAATTCCCTCAGGGGTGTAGATTTTGACCTCAGGGGGCTGAGGGTCTTCCTGATGGGCCCAGCTCTTTTCCAGGGCCCATGAGGCCTCTGAGACTGGGGTCTCCCACTGTAGTTCTCCCAGGTAGGAAGCTAGCCTGCTCCTTGCTCTTCAGCTTTGGGGAAGGAAGCCCCCTTTGGTGGGGTACTCACTACCCTCATTCTGGAAAAAGGAAAATATTTTGTATGGGAAAGATCAGGGGGTCACTGAGACCTGATGGACACCTGAATTCTGTTCTGGAAAGGAGTGAGTGGGAATGGGGGGCTCCAGGGGTTCTTTGTCTGGGGCTGCCTGGTGAAGCTGTAGTTCTCCGATGTGGCCACAGAGGGGCAGCCTCGATCTTCAACCTGCTTCTCCCCAGAATGTCAGTGTTCCTTCCTTCCTTCCTTCCTTCGTACTGTTTGTTCATTTCAGCTACTTTTTATTAAGCACCTACCATATACTGTGTTCTGGGGATCCAGTGGTGATAAAAAATGAGAAAGGATTTCGCACGCGCGCGCACACACAGGTCATGGCGCTCACAGCCCATGTTAAGAGAGACTGCTTTTAACCTCTAAACAAATCATTGAAGTAACTGTCTATTGTGCTAAGTGTGTTGAAGGAAATTGAGAGAGTTGAGCTCAGCATTGCTCAGAGAGGGGTCTTTGGCAGGACTAACCCGAAAAGACTGTTTGGGGAAGACCCAAGCAAGATGTTGATTAGACCAGGATCTAAAGGAAGCAGCTGTTGGGAGAGGGAAAAGAAGCTCCCAGGCCAGGAGGGGGACTTCCCAGTTCTGAATAAAGAGGGTTGGCATGAGGAGGGATTGTGAAGAGATGAGGGTAGAGGGGAGCAGCTCCTGAGCCATCAAGTGGTCCAGGTAGGGGCCATTGTGGCTTGTGCTAGGGTGGAGGCTATGGGGAAGGAGGGAGATGGGCAGGTTCGAGGTGTAGTTTGGAAGTAAACTGACCAGACTTGCTGATGGATCAGATGTTAGAGAATGAAAGGGGATAGATCATGGAAGATGCCCAGGTGCCAGGTTTGAGCACCTGTGCTGATGACCAGGCCGCTGACCAAGAAGACAAATGAGTTTGGGAATGAAAAAGAAAAGGAAAGGTTTCATCTAGGACATGATAAATATTGCAATTGGAAATGTCAGTTTGGCATTAAAAGTGAGCTCAGGGGAAATAGAAATGTGGAGGGTTTGTCAGGACATGATGGTGTGCACATGAACAGCTGCGATGAGCTCAGAGGAGCAGGGATGAAGAGAAGGTTGTGGAGGGGCAGCCAAGGAGGTAGACGAGAAGCCTGCCAGAGAACAGGGGATTTTCTCCTGTGAGCAAAGGGGGCCCACAGGTCCCAGAGAAGGCATCTATGCAGTCCACATTGCCAACTCAGAACCCACATTCAGACATAGCAAATGGCCGAGAGGAAAAAGCTGTCACACAGCCCCATCCATTTGTCATGTCCTCTCACCTGTTTCTTAGGGACCCTCATAATGCTGAGTCCCACCAACATGGCATCATTAAGAACTGGTTGCTGACATCCCCCCAACAGACCATGAACTCTCTGCCCCAGCAGCAGGCAGAGTGTTGCCTTCCTGTGTTCCAGAGGAGAAAAAGGGGATCTCTGCAGGGATCTCTACTCACTTAAAAAACCCCTCCAAGAGAATTCACACTTCCAGGAAGATAGAGTAGATACATTCTTCTTGATTCCTCTGTGCTAAGTACAACTCAAAACTCTTGGCATTATACATAAACTTAAGACTCGGAATGGTTGAAAGAAGGCAGTTCAGCTAGGGATCTCAAGAACTGAGGACAACACCACACACTAATGTGTTCCCTGGGTTTTCTTTTTGCCTCATATATCTCAGACTTGTAAGTAAAGACGCTGACAGCTGGTAACACCGATGGGAAGCAAACTTCAATGAATGTATAAAAATTGAAATCCTACAGTGTGTTCTCCTACTCAAATAGACTCAAACTAGCAATCACCAACAGAAATCTCCAAATCATTGGAAACTGAACAACACACTTCTAAATAATCCATGGGTCAGAGGGAAATAATAAAAATACCTTGAAGTGAATGAAAATGGAAAGGCAGCATGTCAAAATTTGTGGCATCCAGCTAAAGCTGTGCTGAGAGGGGAATTTATGGCACTGAAAGCATATGTTAGAGAAGAAGTAAATCTCAAATCATTTATACAAACTCCTATCTTAAGAATTTGGGGGGGGGGGGAGCAAAATAAAGCCAAACCAAGCAGAAGAAAAGAAATATCAAAGAGCAGAAATTAGAAGTTAAAAGCAGTAAAATCGTAGAGAAAATCAACAAAATAAACAACTGGCATCTTATTAACAAGATCAACAAAATTGACAAACCTCTAGTAAGTTTGAGAAAGAAGAAAGAGAAGACACAATTTAAAATATCAAGAATAAAACGGGACATAATTACAACCCCTGCAAACTTCAAAAGGATGATAAGGGGGATGATACTATGAACAACTCTACACATGTAAACTTGATTACAGATGAAATGGACTAATTCCCCCAAAATACAACCTAACACAACTGACTCAAAAGTAAATAGGTAACTTGAATAGCCCTATACCTGGTAAGAAAATTAAACTTCGCAGAAAGCAATGTCCAGGCCTAGTAGTATTGAGGAATTCTAAACATTGAAAGAAAAGCTAATACCAAATCTGCATGAATTTTTTTTTCTAGAAAATGGAAAAGGAGGGAATACTTCCCAATTTATGTTACGGGGTTAATATTGATAGCAAAACCAGACAAAGATGGTACCAAAAAAAGACAAATCTCTCAAATCTCTCATATGTATATCTCTCATATATATATAATATCCTTCACTGAATGTTAGCTAATAGAATTAACCCCCTTCAATAAATACATGACAAAATGGAATTGATTACAGAGATGGGAGGCTAGTTCCGTATTTGAAATTTAATCAGCGCATACTTGACCATGCTAAAAAATCACATGTCAGTCAAAGCAGAAAAAGGATTTGACAATATGTTGCATCCATTCGTGATTAAACTCAGGAACTTAGAATAGAGATGCTTTTCTTCGACTTGCTGAAGAACATCTACAAAAATCCTACTGCTAGTAGTGTGTTTAATGGTGACAGACTGAATTGAATGCTTTTTTCTTAAGTTGGGGAGCAGGGCAAGGATGTCTGTTCTCACCACTCTTATTCATCATAGTTCTGGAGGGTCTAGCCAGGGAAACATGGCAAGAAAAGAAAATAAACGCATGCAGCTTGAAAAGAAAGAAAGAAAACTGACCCTACAAATCAATAAATTGTCAAAAATCTAAAGGAATATACAAAAAAAAAAAATCCTAGCACTAGTAAGTGAGATCAGTAAAATTGCAAGATATAAGATAAAAGCATATAAGATATAAGCATAAAAAAATCAATTGCACAGTGCCTGGGTGGCTTAGTCAGTTAGGCATCCATCTTTGGCTCAGGTCATGATCTCGCAGTCCATGAGTTCAAGCGCTGTGTCAGGCTCTGTGTTCACAGCTCGGAGCCTGGAGCCTGCTTCAGATTCTGTGTCTTCCCCTCTCTCTGCCCCTCCCCTGCTCATGCTCGCTCGCTCCCTCTGTCTCTCTCTCTCTCTCTCTCTGTCTCTCAAAAATAAATAAAGATTAAAAAATTTTTTTAAATCAATTGCATTTTTGTGTACTAGCAACAAACATGTGGACACTGAAATTATGAAGATAATACTATTTACAATTGCTCCAAAAAATGAAATACATAGGTATATATTTAATACTTACAGGATTGATATGCTGAAAATTATAAAATACTAATGAAAGTTATAAAAGAAGATGTAAATGAGTGGGGAGACATACCATGTACATGGATTGGAGGACTCAAATAATAAAGATGTCAGTTCTTCCCATATCAATATATGGGACCTAGAATACCTCCATTGTGTAAAAGAATAAAGTGGGAAGAATCAATCTGCCTGATTTCAAGACTTAACTACATAGTTATGGTAGTCACAACCATGATATTGGCAGAGGGATAGACACATAGATCAGTGGAACAGAATGGAGAACCCACAATAGACCCACACAAAATGCCCATCTGAATTTTGACAAAGATGCAGAAGCAATTGAATGGAGGAAAGATAATCTTTCAACAAATTATGCTGGAACAGTTGGACATCCATAGGCAAAGAAAGTGAACATCAACCCAAGTCTCATACTTTATATGAAAATTAACTCAAATGCCTTATGGGCTTATATGTAAAACATAGAGCTATATTTATTGGGGGAAAGTAGAGAAGTAGAAGAAAATCTTTGGGATCTAGGGCTAGGCAACAAGGACTTGGACTTGACCTTTCCCAAAGGATGAGCCGTAAAAAGAAAAATTGATAAAATGGACTTCAGCAAAAGTACAGAGGGGATGTACAGATGGCAAACGAGCACATGAGAAGATTTGCAACATCATTAGCCATTAGGGAAGCTCAAATTAAATTCATAGTGAGAAAACCACCTATCAGAGAAACTAAAAAAAAAGGACTAAAAAATGGCAACACCCAGTGCTGGCAAGGATGCTGAGAAGCTAGGTTTCTCATACGTTGCTGGTGGGAATGTAAAATGGCACAGCTACACTGGGAAAGAACTTCACAGTGTCTTTAAAAAGTTGACTTCCAATATCTTGGGTATTTTTCCCAGAGAAATGAAAATTTTGTACACAAATATTTATATCGGTTTATTGGTAACAACCAGAAATCGGGGCGAGGGACATAGGTGTGATTACAAATCGGTAACAGGATTACAAATTGGCAAATCCTAGTGGAAGTGGCAATGTCCTGTGTCTTGACTATGTCTACATAAGTGTCCTGGTTGTGTTTATTGTGCTACAGTTATACTAGCTCTTACTACTGGGGAGTCTGGGTAAAGGGTACATATGGTCTGTATTATTTCTTACAATTACATGTGAATCTACACTTCAAAATGAAAAGTTTAATTTAAAAAAGCACCAAAACCTCCCAGCCCCTACCATTGTTGGGAGAAGACTCAGACCCTTGGTATATGTCCTGCCCAGTGCTCTCTCCCCTGTTCTCCACCCTGTCCACCTCTCCAGCCCTTTACTGTGTCCCCACACAACCTGAATGTTAGTTACTGGCTCTGTAACAAAACTCTGGAGCTTCCACACCCCATGGGGCTCCTCTACCCCTAAAACACACAGTGCTCTGCCTTGGGGCCCATGGGCCCAGCATGAAGGGCCTTGCTCAGGGTGGGTGGAGTGAGTGGGTAGGAGAGAGGAGGATGTGGTAGGGACCAGTGTGAGGAGTCCAGCTGGCGGGGCAGGGAGGAGATCCTCTGCCAGGGTGCATGCATAAGGCTGAAGACCAAAATCAAAAGCAGGGTGGTGTATTTTCCTCCTCCACACATAAGGGTCACTAAAATGGCATTATTCTTGGTGTTGATTTTGCATCTCACTTTTTTCCTCATCATGTCATTATATATTATTTGTGAACAGATTTTGAAAGTGGGGTCAGTGCTCGCTTCGGCAGCACATATACTAAAATTGGAACGATACAGAGAAGATTAGCATGACCCCTGCGCAAGGATGACACGCAAATTCGTGAAGCGTTCCATATTTTTAAACCACAC